AGGCATATAAGAGTTATTTCAACCACTTGATAAAAGTATTCATTGGTACGATTCTCTAGAACCAATCCTTGAAAGGATCATTGTTTTGGGCATAAATCTAGCCTACAGACATAATGAAAAGAATAGAGATCAGCACACAAAAATATTTATAGATATGAAGAATATATAGTAGTAGTAAAATAAAGGGTCAAGCAACAGCTACGAACATATCAAATACACGACTCTTGAATCAAAGAGGGTTCAAACAACATTAAAAATAATCATATGGGAAAGGTCAAAATACAAATATCTAGCAGCTAGGACTATACTTTTAGTAAGTTTTTTTTTAATTTATGTATTTGGTACAGGGTCTCACTACGCAGCTCAGACTCCTTGTGATCCTCCTGTTTCAGCCTCCCCAGTGCTGGGATTACAGGTGTGCACCACCACACCAGGTTCCATGGTCAGCTCAGCGGGGGCCTGGGCCAGGGCTGGCATGGTGGCACGCAGTACCAGAGACTGAATCTGGGGTCCTTGCGTTTTCCAGGCAGGCACTTAAGCCGCTGAGCTATCTCACCAGCCTTAGCAAGTATTTTAAATATAAAAATCCACTTACTTTTTGAATACTTAAACTGATTTTAGTTACATACCTATGTGTAGACACAACACAACAGTAACATTTTGGATGAAAAATCATCATGTAGACATGTACAATTACATAAAGGTAAAAATCTGATTATTCAGGGTGAAGGAAACACAACATGCTTTAAGCTTAGAAGGTGCAGCAGCATTCTTTTAAGAACAGTTATCCTGAACAGTTGACCAACCTGCAAAAAACAACTCAAAATGGAAAGATGTGCCTGAAAAGCTAACATACGACAATTCCTTAACAGACAACTAACCTGGTGTGAAAATCCATAACCAAAGGATCCGTAGGCAAACATGAATTCCACCTCCAACCTGCAGACACACTGAACATACGGGAAACTTACTTTATTCTTTGATCAGAATGAAATTTCACGGGAGCAGTGATAGCAAGAGAGACTTTTACTCCCCAAATTTCTATGTTAGAATGGCTACGTAGGAATCTGAATCCCTCATTGTTAAAGAGAGAAAGAGAAGCATTTACACAAGGAGCTCCTGTTACAGAACAACCTATTCAGTTTCTGAAAGAGCTTTTGTTAATACTGTATGATTAAAATATAGAAAATGTCTAAATGGAACTGTTAATATGAGTACTCTGGGACACTGGCACATAGCTATGCACATCTCTATTCATGTGTGCATATATATATATTTTTTTTTTTAATTATTTACTTACATTCTTCTCACCTCCACTATATTCAGGTACTATTTTTTTAGACAAGAGACTTCATCTCTCTAACCCCTGAGGTGCTTAGGTGTGAGAGGAGGGAGCGGGTGGGAAGTAGTGACCTCATGTTCCTTGCTCCTGTTTTGGCCAGGAGACAGTAGAAGTCTCTCCAAATAGAAAAATCAACAAATCGAGTGAATTTCTAAGTATTTAAAAGGAAACAGAATTGCAAACACCCCTTCAGAAACTCCCCAGTGAGAAAAGTAATGCTTCTTGGAATTTAGTGGTGAGATACCCAATGGGACACCACATGGCTCCAGGGCTGTGCAGCTGAAGCAGGGGCTGGAGGCACTGTACGCTCCCGCCCAGTGATTCTGGTGTTCCCTTTCACAGTTTGACAATAAGATGGCAGAGTTTTTATTGTTGTTACTTGAGAAGGTCCCACTATGAAGCCTGTGCTTCAGGCTGTCCCACTATGTGCTTGAGGCTGTCCTTGAACTTCCTCCCTCAGTCAACCCAGTGCTGGGATTCCAGGCATGTGCCACCAAACCCAGCCAGACAGCAAACTTTTGAAAAAGTTGGGTGGGTGAAGATTTTGTGAGCAAACTACTTTCTAGTTAACACATTTTGACTAAGTGAAACAGTAGCTGTTAAGTAATCGATACTCTGTATACTACAAGCAGTATCAGAGGGCAGGGAAGACAGCTCAGTGGAATAAGCATTTACCGGGCAAGGGCAAGGGTCTGAGTTCAATCCCTGGTTCCGCCAAAGAAAGAAAGAAAGAAAGAAAGAAAGAAAGAAAGAAAGAAAGAAAGAAAGAAAGAAAGAAATTTAGGGCCAGAGAGATAGTTCAGTAGAATAAGTGCTTGCCTGGCAAGCACAGGGTCCTGAGTTCAATCCCTGGTACCGCACACACAAAAAAGTATCAGAGTAAAATGCAATGAAACGTTAAGAAATTATTACATATGCACAAAAGTTAGGAAATTTCAGTAAAGTTCTTACTGTGTTTTCATTCAATATTTGTAATTCTTCAGTAAAACACATTTTCTGGAAAAAATAAAATACTTAAATTTAAAATTACTCATGTAATTTACCAGCATATTATTTAAACCATGTAACAGGAAAAAAAAAAAATCAAGTAATGATTTTTCCAACCCACATGTGGATCAAATAGTTAAAATATAACCAATGAATGTTCAGAAGATAACAAACATTCCAAGCCTAAGCAACAGAAACAAACATTAACATTTGCATTCAAGTTGCAGACTTAAGAAGTTTCTCTAGTTAAGAGTTCCTTCCTCTTTTGGAAATCTCAGAGCAACGGCCTGGCTGCCACTTCTTTTAAGGGTTCATATAAACAAACTTACAAGATAAACTGACCCCTGGGAGGACCGGGTACCTCCCTCTTCCTCAGGGGCTTTCTGAGATCCATTAAAACTTTGGAAACCTTGGTGACCATTTGTGTTGTCTCTGCTGTCCTATGAGTTGTCCAACCCAGTCCAATCCTCCAGCGATCCCTTCCTTCCTAGTAGTCTGCACTGCTCCCAATTCCATGGCTAGCAATCTGTCACTTTTGGGGACTATGGAGATAGCTTAGCAGTCAAAGCACCTGCATGGCAAGTGCAAGGACCTGGGTTCAGTCCCCAATACTACATGCCGTGCCGACCACGGAACCCTGAGCAAGACCCTGTACCAAATAAATAAATCAAGACTAAAAAAAATTTAATCAATCTGTCACTTTTAACACTTTCACTAAACTTTCTTCCCACCCAAGACCTTATGTCTACACAGTGCCTGAGTACTTCCAAAGCATATTATCTCATGAGGATTTAAGAGTGAGTCCCTCTTGTAAATCTCCTGCTATCTGGTACTTCCATTATTCTTCAGATACAGGAGTTACTCCTTTAGTAAAACCGTGGTATCCTAAGGATGTGAATTTGAAGGCAGCAAATAAAGAGAGAAGCCCATTAGGTAAACACCAAACGGACAAGCTAATGCCACAGTGAAAAGCACTGTGCTCATACATACCTGAATTACTTTATAAAGGTGGACCGTAACGCTTCCTAAGAGGAGCAGATAATTTTCTGCATCATTGTATTGCACTAATTCCAAGGAAATGTTATTCCATGTATCATCTTGATTTCTGGGAACCTCAAGATGCAAATATATGTTAAACAGAAGCATTACATTTTCAGTCTGAATTTCAGATATAACTTCCAGAAGCTACATTATGTGCGTAACAAATCAGCAGGTTTTAGGCGTCACTGCCTTCGTACGTTTCCAGCCTCACAGTCATATATATCTTCAACCTCACCATTCCATACACCTTAATATCAATAAAAATCAAGGTGTTGGTTCCTGTTAATTATGACTTTTTAAAATAATCCACTGCTAAGGGCCAGCCAGATAGCTCACTGGACTAAAATGCCTGCTTAGGTAGGCTCAGGGACCAGGGTTCGATCCCCAGCATGCCATGCTGGCCCCGCCACCAGGGTATGCTGAGACAGCTAACAAGTCAGGGCGTAGTGGTGCATGCCTGTAATCCCAGGACTTGGGAGGCTGAAAACAGGAGGATCATTATGAGTCCAATCTGTGTAGTGAGACCCTGTAAACCCTTACTAAATACATTAGATAATAATAAAAGTAATCCTGAGGAAACTGAACAATGCTGGAGTCACCACAATCCCTAATTTCACAATGTTCTACAAAGCCCTCATTACAAAAACAACATGATTCTGTAATGAAAGCAAGACACACAAGTACTGGCAAGATAGCTCAGGGGACTAAGCTGCCTGCTTAGGCAAGTGCAGGGACCGGGATTTGATCCCCAGTACCACATCACACCAGCTCCATCCCTGGGCACTCTGACCCAGCCACCAAGACCAGGCATGGTGGCACATGCCTGTAATTGTAATCCAAGCCCTTGGGAAACTGAGACAGAAGGATTGCAGTGAGTTTGAGACCATCCTGGGCCAGAAAGTGAGCATAAAGCCAGCTTGAATTGCATAGCGAGACCTTGTTTCAAAAAGATAAAAATAAATATCATAGGGCTGGGGACATAGCTCAGCAACACAACACCAACCTGACCACCACAAGGTCCTGAGTTCAATTCCCAGTATGCCCCTCAAAAAAATCATAATGAAACCTAGTATTTTGTACAATGTATACTACTAATAATTAAAATTTCTTATTTTTTTTTCTTGATACAGGGTCTCACTACACAATTCAGACTCATAGTGATCCTCCTGTCTCAGCCTCTCCAGTGCTGGGGTTACAGGCATGCACCACTGCGCCCAGGGTTCCGGATGGCATAGCATGTAGCACCAGTACCAGGGATCAAACTCAGATCTTTGCACTTGTCAGGCAAGCATTTAAACTGCAGAGCTCTCTTCCCAACCCCAATAAAAATTTCTGTACTACATAATTTTCTATGTAGTCATTACTAGAAAAGCCATTTCCAAACTTTCTATTAGTGTTCAATTAAAATTCTGCTTTTAATGTATGTGAACTAATACATATGTTTAAATAATTATACCAAGATTCATTATGCAAATGAAGACATTTACCTATTAATTTATATCCTTTTCAAATTTTACTGTTTCACACCAAGTCCCATTTGAATGGACACATGTCTCCCAAGTTTCTAAGAGCCTGCCACTGAAGTTTAACCAAACTATTTGCAATGTAAAACAAAAAACAAAACAGTATAAACTGCCTCTACCAACACTATGCCTTGTTTTTATATTTGTTTATTTGACCCATGCTTAAAAACCTACCAGTCATATTACACATTTAAATACAGTTGTAAAAACACTTAACACATAGAGGAAATGCTTCAGAATTTTTCCAAAATTCAAATGTAGTAACTATTAAGAAATAACTGGGCTAACACTGAGTTCTGCAACTCTAAGGAATTTAAAGAAAGCTTTGAGGTAAGATTCTGAGAAGCCCGAACTCAACTCAGGAAGCTCTTACTTTAATGAAGAGTGACCAGAAGCCGACCACACACATCCCCACTGCCACCGTGTACTCATTCCATGATGGGAATGAAGTTAACTACACAATACCTCCATTTTCTCATTTATAAAATAAAGATAATAGTAAGGGTAAGTTTTTAAGACATCTACAGCTAGATATGTCTTTAGAGATTATTAATTTATGTAAAAATAAGTTCAGTCTATGTAAGACAGTGCATATAATACAGAAGAAGAGAAAAGGGATAGACATTTTAAAAAAGAGTGTAAGGGGCTGGGGGGATACAGCTCAGTGCCATAAATGCCTGCCTGGCAAGCACCAAGGTCCTGAATTCGATCTCCAGGACTGAAAGAAAAAAGAATGAAGATGTAGATGAAAAAGAAAAATCAAAATAGAGAAAACAATATATGTATGATAAATACTAAAAACCAGAGGTAGGAACATCTCAGGAAAGAAGTCCACTAAAAGAGCCTATGAGACCTTGGTGAGCTCTGACCTTCCTTAGCCCCCAGCATGCAGACCTGGAGCTTCCGTTGGTGCCAGTCCAAACTTTTAAAAACTTAGGAGGGCTCTGAGTGGCCTGCAGGACACAGGACAGCTGTGATCTGTGGGCCCAGCAGAAGCAGGCAGGGAGCTTTCCTGGCACCATTTAAGAACTTTGGGGGACCCTGGGCAGCCTGTGGTACTCTGGGAAATTACTGGGAGCTTCAAATATGCCAAAACACAGAAGCAGAAGACAATTTCAATCCTCTAGCCCACCAGGAATAAGTCCAGCAGACAAAGACATACAAGAACTTGGAAATCACACACCTGAAATCTCTAAAATGATAGCAACTGAAGTAAAGAAACAAGTTCATCAGGCTATAGAAGAAATAACAGCAGAAATAATCTCTCTGGTCCAAAAAGAAAGGACAACAATTGTGAAAGAATTGCTCAGCACAGCTAAAGAAGACATAGAAAAATAGAGAATAAAAAATATGATGGAAATACTGAATGAACAATACAGGAAAGAATTAGAATGCATGAAACAGACTCAAACAGATATCCAGGAAATCAAATATTCCATCAAGTGGCAAAACCACTTGAAAGAAACTGAAGACAGACTTTCAGACCTCGAAGACAGTGGTGCGGCTAATGAACGAGAAATAAAAGATCTCTTAAAACTAACGAAGAACCAGGAAATAACAATTCAGCAGCTACAAGACAATGTAAAGAAAAATAATATAAGAATAATAGGTGTCAATGAGGCAGCGGGAGACAGCACAAATGACATTAAAAAAAAATATTTTTGGTGGAACCAGGGATTGAACTCAGGCTCTGGTGCTTGCCAGGGGAAGCACTTATTCCACTGAGCCATCTCCCCGGCCCCTAAAAAAAATTTTGTAGAAGTACAAGCAGAAAATTTTCAAAATATGAGAAAAGAAACAATATTCAAATAAGTGAGGCATATAGAACTCCACACAGCCATAATCACAATAAATCTCACCTAGACACATAATATGAGAAGATTTCAGAAACTCAGCAAAAGAATAGAATATTAAAAGCTGCTATGAAAAGAAACAGATCGCCTACAATGGAAAGGCCATCAGAATCATGGCAGATTTCTCATAAACCATCAAATCAAGAAGAACTTGGAGTGAAGTACTTCAGCTTCTAAAAGAAAGTAACGTCCAGCCCAGACTGATGTACCCTGAAAAACTGTCTATCAAACTCAATGGCAAAATAAGATCCTTCCATGAGAAATGAAGAAATTCATAACCACCAAACCAACCCCACAAAGAGTACTGGCAGATATTCTAGAAAGAGACAGAAGTGATCACAGCTTTAAGAACAACAGAAAGGAACCACCAAACAGAGCAAGTAATTAAAAAGAGGGGAAAAGTACAGAACCTATGACAGGAAAATAACATGACAAAGATAAGCCAATATGTATCAATTATAACCATCAATGTAAATGGCCTCAGTTCACCAATCAAAAGAAAGACTAACAGAGTAGATTAAGAAATAAAATATAAATAAATAAATAAATAAATCCAACAATATGCTGCATACAAGAAACCCATTTAACTCAAAAGGAAATTCATAGACTAAAAGTCAAAGGATGGGAAACAATCCTCTAAGCCACAGGAAACCAGATAAAAGCAGGGGTAGCTTTTATCTCGTTTCATGTGGTTGCTGACAATGTCAACTTCAAACCAAAAATCATCCAACAAGATAAAGAAGGTCACTACACTCTTATTAAAAGAAAACTGCAAGAGGAAGAGATACCAATTACAAATATACATGCACCCAATGTAGGGGGACCCTCCTATGTAAGAGACATTTTAACAGACATGAAAAATCAAATGAGAGGTAATACAATAGTAATGGGGAACTTTAACACACCACTGTCACAAAAAGATAGATCAACTAGGCAGAAAATCAGTAAAGAAATACCAGAACTGAACCAAACTTGTGAAGAAACTGACTTGGTGGAACTTTACACTGTTTCACCTCTTTACAGAGTGTTTCACCCAGCAGCAACAAACTACACATTCTTCTCAGCTGCACACAGGACGTTCTCCAAAGTCTGCTTACTACCACATACTAGCACACAAAGCATTCTTAAGTAAATGCAAATGAATTGAAATTATCCCATGCATACTATCTGATCAGGTGCAATAAAATTGTAAATTATTGATAAAAGAACTACAAAAACACCATAAACACAGGGAAACTAAGTAACAGCCTTCCAACTAACCAATGAATGGGTCACAGATGAAATTAAAGAAGAAATTACAAAATATTTACAATCAAACGAAAATGTAGATACAATTTACTGAAAACTGTGGGATGCGATAAAAGCTGTCTTAACAGGAAAATTTATTGCAGTAAATTCACACATTAGGAAAACAGAACAAACTCAAATAAACAATCATGCTGCACCTCAAGCTGCTAGAAAAAGAAGAGCAAGTCAAGCCCAAAGCGTAAAGAAGGCAGGAGCCTTCCACCACAGCAACAATCAAATAATAGTAGCCATGGCCCTCTGCTATCCAATGGGCGTAGGCCTCTACAAGGGCCACAAGGTGACTAAGAATGTGAGCAAACTGAGGCACAGCCGCCATCACGGACATCTCACCAAACACACCAAGTTCATGAGAGACATGGTCCAAGAGGTTTGCGGCTTCACCTCCTAC